GTCCAATCCCGAGCTGAACGGTGAATTTCGGGAGGGGCTTCACCACTGGGCTAAATGGGTGCCCGGGGGCCATACTCTTGAGGTTTCTTCTGTCTGTCAGGCCAGTAAATCTGGTCTTTTTTTGTGAGTTAGGATTCTGTTCTACATCCTTTTACAGCTCTGTCCAGGACCGTCTATTGTGATCCCGGTCAGAGCAGTCAGTGGTGGTAGCCGTACACCATCTAGCTGTACTGGACTCAGTCTCGAAGGCAAGAATCTTGAAGGCTGGCTACCACAGTCCACCTCTGTCACCAAAGATTTACGTCTCTCTGTCTTAGGCTGTGTTCTCTAAAGAAGCAAAACCAGTAAAGTGTACAAATATATATAGAGAGAAATTTATATCAAGGAAACAGCTCATGCGATTCTAGAGGCTAGAATATCCCAAGTCCATGGATCAGGGTAGAGTCCTCTCCCAATTCACGCAGCCGCAGAAGCTGGTGAGCCCAAGATCAGCAGGTCGGAGCGCAGGGCTCCTGCTCACAGGCTGTGAAGATCGACGAATCTCAAGTTCAGCAGGGAAGCTGACAGCTCAAGTCCCAAGAACCGGAGATGAGACGACAGGAGGCAGCCGCAGGATCCAGAGTGAGCAAAACCCCAGAACGTCTGCTTATATTCAGATGCAGGCAACACTCCCAAGGAAACTCCCTTTCATCTGATTGTCTCCTCACAGCATATTCAATCATGGGAGTGATCACATATAAACACTGAGAATCATGGCCCAGCCAAGTAGACACATAATCTTAACCATCACACCCTCCTACAGGCAAAATCACACATCTTTTCCCAAAATCCCTCAAACTTTCATGCTATTACATACAGCATCTGCTCAAAATCCAGAATCTTGTCATCTAAGTACTCGCTTTCTTAAGTCCACCTCCTTGAGGGCAGCTCCTCTTAATCTGAAGTCCTGTGAGACAAGAGAGAAATTATTGCCCATACCCACCTACAAACACTCAACATATATTAATAACTGCTATAGACACTCTCATTCAAAAAGGGGAAATATGGCAGATACAAAAGAATAATTGTTTCTAGGTGCTGTCAAGTGGGTTCCTACTCATAGCGACCTTATGTATAACAGAACAAAACGTTGCTCGGTCCTGCATCATCCTCACAGTTTGAGCCCACTGTTGCAGTCCCTGTGTCAGTCCCTGTGTCAGTCCCTCTTGTTGAGGGGCTTCCTTTTTTTCCCTGACCCTCTATATTACCAAGCATGATGTCCTTCTCCAGGGATTGGTCCCTCCTGATAACATGTCCAAAATACTTGAGACAAAGTCTAATAATCCTCGTTTCTAATGAGTGTTCTGACTGTACTGCTTCCCAGACAGATTTGTTCCTTCTGGCAGTCCATATTCAATATTCTTTGCCAACACCATAATTCAAATGTGTCAATTGTCCTTAGGTCTTTCATTTTCAGCAAGTGTAAATTGGACATTCCTTGATTATGACTCAAGGTCTGGAAATAATTTCATGGATTTTGGATCTGCCATCTGACTTATCTTTCTTTTTCTACAAGATGTTCTCATGTTTATAGCTGCATTATTTCTTAACCTGCTTCTTGTCCCATAGAAGTTTGGCAGTCCGAAGCCCTCTTTTCCTTTTTGTACTGTCTCTGTCCCATTCATTGCAACTGGCAGTATCTCGCATAATGCAATTCGCTTAAAAACTGTGTAGGTCTCCTGTGAATCTTTTGTGGGGGTACATTTCATCAAACAAATTCCACACCCACAAATATCTTTGAGATGAGCCCTTCTTTGCTTTGAGCTTATGTTGAGTTGACCAAAGGTCAGCACACTTAAACTACTTATAAGCTCTTTGGCTTGAATAGCTGTCTAAGGCACCTCCCTAGATCTTTCCGAGGTTTTAAGAAATAGTTTTACAACTTCACCTTAAAAAAAATTAACAACTTTATTGATATAATTCACATATCATACAATTCACATATTTATAGTGTACAATTCAATTGTCATTAGTAGATTCACAAGTTGTGCAACAGGACCACAGTCCATATTAGAACATTTTCATCACTCTATAAAGTGGATACTGCATGGTTTAAAGTCAGGAAACATGTGTGTCAGAGTTCTATTCTTTCACCATACTTATTCAATCTGTATGCTGAGCAAATAATCCAAGAAGTTGGACTACAGGAAGAAGAATGGGGCATCAGGATTGGAGGAAGACTCATTAACAACCTGTGACATGCAGGTGACACAACCCTGCTTGCTGAAAGTGAAGAGAACTTGAAGCACTTACTGATGAAGATCAAAGACTACAGCCTTCAGTATGGATTATATCTCAACATAAAGAAAACTAAAATCCTCACAACTGGACCAGTAAACAACATTATGATAAACGAAGAAAATATTGAAGTTGTCAAGAACTTCATTTTACTTGATCCACAATCAATGCCCATGGAAGCAGCAGTCAACAAACCAAATGACGTATTGCATTGGGCAAATCTTCAAAAGACCTCTACAAAGTGTTAAAAAGCAAAGATGACACTTTGAGGACTAAGGTGCGCCTGACTCAAGCCATCGTATTTTCAACCTCTTCGCATGCATGTGAAAGCTGCATAGTGAATAAGGAAGACTGAAGAAGAAATTGATGCCTTTCAATTATGGTGTTGACAAACATTACTGAATATACCATGGACTTCCAGAAGAACGAACAAATCTGTCCTGGAAGAAGTAGAGCTAGAATGCTCCTTGGAAGTGAGGATGGTAAGACTTTGTCTCATATACTTTGGACAAGTTATCAGGAGGTACTGGTCCCTGGAGAAGGACATAATGCTAGGTAAAGTAGAAGGTCATGGAAAAAGAGGAAGACCCCCAATGAAATGGATTGCCACCATGGCTGCAACAATGAGCTAATGATTGTAAGGATGGTGCAGGATTGGTCAGTGTTTCCCTCTGTTGTACAGAGGATCACTATGAGTTGGAACCAACTCGACAGAACCTAACAACACCAACAAGTTCATACAGATAACGTTCTACATTTTAGTTTGGTGAGTAGTGTCCGGCGTCTAAAAAGCTTGTGAGCAGCCATCTAAGATACAACTATTGGTCTCTATTTGTCCGGAGCAAAAGAGAATGAAGGAAACCAAAGACTCAGAGAAGAAACTTGTCCATGGGACAAACAGCCCACATGAACCACGGCTTCTTCTAACATGAGACCAGAAGAACAAATGGTGCCCGGCTACCACTACCGACTATTCTGACCAGGGACACAATAGATGGTCCCAGATAGAATGGGAGAAAAATGTAGAACAAAACTCAAAATCTGAAAGAAGGCCAGACATACTTGACCAACAATGACTAGAGGAACCCCGGAAATTATCACCCTAAGATACCCCTTGAACTTGGAACTGAAGCTACTCCTGGAGGCCAGCTTACAGCCAAGTAATAGATTGGTTTCTAAAACAAACAGTATCACCATGAGTAACGTGCTCCCTTAAACAATCAACTATATGAGACCAAAAGGTCAACATTTCCTAAAAGTAAAGATGAGAAGGCAAGGAGGGGAAGAGAAGCTAGATCAATGGAAACAGAACAAACAGAATGAAAATAATGAGAATGTTGACACATTGTGAAAATGTCACTGATCAATTTGTATAAAAATTGTTAAATGGGAACCCAATTTGCTGTGTATACTTTCACTTAAAACACAATAAAATATTTAAAAAAAATTAATAGACCCTCAGAAATGTGTGGGACACTATTGAAAGTTGTAACGCTTACGCTGTTGCATTGCCTGAGGGAGGGGTGAAAAAGGTCCGTGAAGAAACGTGGCTGAAAATTTCTCAGCTTTGTGAAACACACATCTAAGAAGCTCAAAACACCCCACCCAGACACAACACAATCTGCTGAAAAGTAAAGAGGAAGAAAAAATCCTGAAAGTAGTCAGAGAAAAATGACATCATACATGAAAGAAGACCTAGGAATCTCATCATAAAGGATAGAAAAGGTTGGCATAACATCTCTGAAGTGCTGAAAGAAGTCTCAACCCAGAACATTATGTTCAGCAAAGGTATCCTTAAGGATTGAAGGCAAAACAAAACAAAAGCAAATGAAACAAGAAAACACTGATGGACATGAAAGAGAATCCATCATCAGACAATTTGCTTGAGAAAAATGTGAAAGGAACTCTGCACGCTGAAGAGGATTGATACAAGAGGGAAGCTTGAAACCTCAGACACAGGAAGAACATCAGAAATGGTTAACCTTCTGGGCAAATGTGATAGTCTATTTCACTCCACTTAAATTCTTTAATACATGCATTACTTTTGAAAGCAAACATTACACCCCCATCTCAGAGGGTGGGGTTCAATTCATATAGATGTAATACATATGACAGCTAAGATATAAAGCGTGGGGCTTTAAAGAATCTGTATGGCGGTCTGGTTTTAACCTTCTACTTAAACTGGTAAGATGCTCACTCCATCTTGACTATGAAATGATTAGTATATATAGTGTTAAACTCCCAGAAAAACAAACACAAAGCTATTACAAACTCACTCAGAGACACTGGATACCTTCAAAAGTGCTATCCAGGAAACATGAATAGAGCAGCTAAAAACACTCAGATACATGTTTTTGTCTGAACGTAAATATTGCTTTTTCTTGGTTAATTGCCTACGAGTGGGATCACTGAGACGTGTGGTAAGCCTGTCTCTCCCAGCCTGTCCTGCTTGCCACCATGCCCTAGCCCAGAAGGATCTGGGTGAACCCCCTCTTCTCTTCTTAGTAGAATTCCCTCTCCAGTATCCCCAGGGGAAAGGGCAGGGCGACACACAGGCACTGATCCCAAAGCTGCCATCCTGTGCAGCAGCTGCGAACCTGGAACTTGGCTCTCTGCAGTTAGTTTCTCCTCTGCCTGCTCAGAGACCCATCCTGTCCAGTTCCTGACACACTGCTCAGGGCCGCCAGGGTGAGAGGAGACGGCTGCCATGCCAAGAAGCTCACCTCACTCAGCTCAAACACCTTCCACTTCGGGGAGATGCAGAAGCGCCTGAGGGTCCAGGGGATGAGCCACAACCTTTGCCGCTGAGCCTGTTCCTCGAGGGTCCTCTGCTCGTGCTCCTGTACCTCGTCCACACCTGTACTTGGAGAACACTTAGAGTACTTAGGGCATGCGCACACACCTCCAGCAATCTGTGCGCGCGCCCTTCCCCAGCTCGTGCATTCTGTGCGCGCGCGGATTCATTGAAGACAGGTTCAAAAGGTGGAGCAACCGGCCAAACAGTGCGCGCTCCACCTTTGCCTGAGTTGGCAGCTGAAGAAGAACGCTCAGCATCTGGTACACTCCAGAACTAAAAAAACGAACCCGTTCTTTTGAGTCTATCCGTACTCAAGGACAAATCTTCCACCCCTGCACCGATGGGCAGTTCATTGGGCAAGCTTGGTCCCTCACCTCGGTCCCCTGCACAGGGGACCCGGGTCCTGCTGGGGGGGCTTGAATGTCCACCACCTGCAACCTGCCTCCGCCGCGTTCCCTGGGCTGTCCGCTGTCCCCCGCCTGCCCCTGCCCCTGCCCCTGCCCTTGGCGGGGTTCGCAGGCCATCTTACAAGTCTCCAGGGACTTTACAAGGGGCTTTCTCAGAGCCTCCTGGAGACAAAATCTCGGGATCCTGCAGACCCCGTGGTCCTTCCTGGGGACCCTCACCTCCCTGTGCTGGCCTCGCTCTCAGAGGAAACAGAGTCTGTCTGCACATCACTTCAAGGTATCTCACAGCTCACGGTGGTGAGTGAGAAAATTGATTATGTCTTTGGTACAAGAGCAGGCAGTCACCTCTATGAGGCCCACAACACTCTGGTGTCCCCAAGACCCTGGCACAGAGAAGGCTGTGTGGAGGGGGATGGTGAAGCAGGAGGCAGACCCCCCTGGTCCTAGAAAGGCAGGACCATCAGAAAAGGGGTCCCGATGTCACTGGGAGGGCACAGTCTGCATTTAGGCCCCTGGGTGTCCATGGAGGTGAATCTTCCTTCCTTCCCAGGCCTGGGCCTCTGAAGAGAAGCCTCCATTCCAAGAGCTCAGAAGACAATTCCATCAAGACGACACAGACCCCCTTTCTGAGCTCCTGCACCAAGAGAAACGCCATCACGAGCTCATACAGCTCCACCTAAGGATTCCCCCCACTGAAGAGGAGGATGTGTCCTGCTACATCCCAGTCCCAGCTGACCCGCAGGCCCTCAGAGAGAGTGAGCCAGGAGGCCCGTAGACCTGGAACTTCAGCTTCAGGGATGTTCCTGAGGAAGGTGCAGTGTGAAAATGTTTCAGATGTGACCTCCAGGCATAAACGCAACTTGAGGGACTGCTCCACCACATCTGACAGTTCTGGGCCCCGGAAACGCGGAATTCCTCTGTTGCGACCTAGGCGAGGGGACCTTTTTGTTCTGCCGCCATTCCCCCAGGCAGGTTATCCGGTCACGGCTTAAAGATCTCGACCAAGAGAAGAGAGCAGTGCTCCAGCGCATCAACATCGCTTTGAGGGGTGAGATGGAGGCCAACTCCAGCTGCAGGGTCACTCAGCCTTCAGGTGCCTCTCCCTTGCCTGCTGCAAAGGCTGCTCCTCCAGCAGCTGCCCCACCAGATCCCAGCCTGAATCAGAAATGGAAGACATGGAGGACAAAGCAGGACTCCCTGGGCCCACTGGCAGTCCTGGAACATGCTAGATTGGCCACCCCCAGCGATGCCACGTGTAGGAGGAAGCCCAGCTCCCCAGACCCCTTCTTCTCCTCCTTGCCACCGTCCCTCCCAGGCACCTTGTCACACTTTCTGCACTCAGCCACTTTCACCTTGCTGACCTCTGCTCCCGTGCCTTCATCAGACACGCAGAGGACTGACCTGTCCTCTGGGCCCCCAATCCCTTCTAGGCCTGCTCCTTCGCAACCAGGTCTGGACGTTAAAATGGGAAGCCCACCTCCTCACCTGCCTGCTCCTGCAGCTGCCCTCCCCGCCGCAGCCCGCACCTTCAGGATGGAGTCTCCTACCCCATGTGTGTAGATTCTCCTGTCTCCTTCTTGGGGACACCCTCTCCAACCAGGGATCCTAGTGCCCCTCTGTCCCATGACCTGACAATCGCTGACTCTTCACTCAGTGCTAGCTCCTCAGCCAGCACATCTACAAGCTTGGCCCCCCAGCCTGCTCCTGATGTTGGGGTCACCCCCATGGATATCTCTCTGCCCTCCCAGACTCTCTTTCTGGGGCCTCCCTTGAGCACCAGCAGGCCCTTTCCATCTGCCCAGGCCCTGCAGACACCCCGCGGTGGCAGCACAACCTCAGCCACAGACACTAGCAGAATCCTAGCAGCTCCAGCCCCAGCCTCAGGCTCAAGCTCCATCCCAGGTCAGCCAGCTTTGAGCACCACCACAGGGTCAGCTTTGGGGGGTTTATTTCCCACTACTTCCACCTTGGGCACCCGTGTCACCACACAGCCAGCCTTGGGTGCCACCCCAGCTCTTTCCATCACTCGCGCCGCCACTACTTCTGGCTTTAGCACCTCCGTGCCAGGCACTGTTACCAATCGTAGGCCCAAAGGGAGGCGGCACTGGTCACCTGGTGCCGGCACAACCCCAGGCCGCTCCGGGTTGCAGGTTTCAGCTACATGCATCGACTTTGGGAGCAGAGAAACTGTCTCAGATCTCAGTTCCAAATTTGGAGCACTTGGCATTGGAACAGGAATGAGTGGGGGCCCTAGCACCCCAAACCACAACAGGAAAAGCTTGGTCCTGAACACCAGGGGCTCTGCGAGCCAGAGCACCCCTACGATGAAGATAAGACACAGCAAGACTAAGAAAAACCCTGTGACTGGAGGCACTACTGCCCTGACCATAAGTCAGACACCCAGTGGCCTGGCCAAGCAGAGACCCTTTATTGCAGGTGGAGGGTCCAGCACCCCTGAAAGCAAGGCTTCTTCTAGTTCCATGACCTTCCCCACCATTCCTCAAAGCAACCCGGTCTCTGGAAAGGGTGAAGCAAAGAAGAGCCTTATTTCTATGGCTCTCTCATCACCTGCCCAAAGCTTTGTAGGGGACAGAAATGCTAGGCCGTCCACCAGTTCATTTTCATCTGGGTCAGGAACTACGAAGTTGAAGTCAAAGAGGAAGTAGCCAATGTCTGCTTCCTTCCAGGTGAGACCTTGTGTGTGCCCTGTGTTAGTAGGTCCGTCACGCAAATCCAGCGCTGGAGTCTGCAATCCTGGAGTGAGCTGAGGGCCAGAGATCCAAAATCTAAAGACGCTGAATATGGCCAGTCAAGGCAATACGGTAGCAAGGAGGCAGGGAGACCATGAAAAGTAACTAATTTATTACACATCATATTTCCCAGAGTGTACACAATGCAGTACCTCACACAGGGCCACAGGGGAGCACGACCTGACACAGGGCAACCACAAAGGGAATAAGCAAGAGAGAGACAGCTGCTTTTACTGGGGTTTCAGAGTGGGGGTAAGCAGTTAACTGTGCCTGTGCATGGTTGGCTAGGTATTATTTTAAAGTTTTCATCTAGGGGGTAGGTAGCACCAGTTACCAATGGGGATTATCAAATGGGACCAAAGGGTGTTTCCTTGAGTTCAACAAAGGAGGCCACAGACTAAAACAAAGGTAAGGGGCTGGAGCTCATAAATGGAAGCATCAGAAATAATGTGACTTGTTAGTGAGCTGGGCCCTGCGATGCTTCCACATTCTTGAGCAGTGTGGACTTGTTGGTTTTGTTTTCCTAGGTCCGGATAGGAGGAGGAGCATTAAATAATGCTTGCCACCTGACTAGTGGGGACATGAAAGTTGTGCAGTAATGCCTGTGAGGCCCAGTGAAAAATGACCTTAATTAAAGTTACTACTAGGGGGCAGATATATATTGTTTGAAAACCCATCTGAAACTGCGATGCCCAACTACTAGGAGCAAGCCAGGAGAACAGTTCAGAAACTGGGGGATTGAGTGGGGTTAGTTCATTACTATCGAGTCTACTCATAGCCACCCTATGGGACATAGTAGAACTGCCTCATAGGGTTTCCATGGCTTTAAATCTTTTTTAATTTGTTGTTTTTTCATTGACCCATAGGCAATTGGTTTGGTTTTTTTTTTTTGCTTTAGGTGAAAGTTTACAGAGGAGATTAGTTTCTCATTAAACAGTTAATACACAAAGTGTTTTGTGACATTGGTTGCCAACACTCTCCCTTTCTCCACCTTGAGTTTCCTGTTTCCATTTGTCCAGATTGCCTATCCCTTCTTGACTTCTCCTTCTTTGCTTTTGGGCTAGTGTGCCCATTGTCTCCTATATATGATTGAACTATGAAGCACATTCGTCACGTGTGTTATTGTTGCCCTATTCACCTGTCTAATCTTTGGCTGAGGGGTGAACCTCAGTAGTGATGTCACTTCTGAGTTGAAAGGGTGTCCGAGGGCCATACTCTCAGGGTTTCTCCAGTCTCTGTCTGACCAGCAAGCCTGGTCTCTGTGTGTATGTGTGTGTGATTTTCAATTTTATTCTACATTTTTGCCCCACTCTGTTTGGGTCCCTCTATTGTGATCCTTGCCAGAGCAGTCGGTGGTGGTAACCAGGCACCATCTAGCTGTTCTGGGCTCAGTCTGGTGGAGGTTGTGGAAGTTGTGGTCCATTAGTCCTATGGACTAATCTTTCCCTTGTGTCTTCAGTTTTCTGCATTCTTATTTGCTCCAGCTGGATTGGGACCAGTAGATGTATCTTACATGGCCGCTCATAGGCTTTTAACACCCCAGATGCTACTCACAACAGTCGGATGCCGAACATTTTCTTTACAGTCTATGTGATGCTATTTGAGCTCTATGTCCCCTGAGACCATGGTCTCCAGCCCTCAGCCCAGTAGCTCGATCTCTCAGGGCGTTTGAATGTGTCTGTGAAGCTTTTATGACTTTGCCCTGGTCAACTTGTGCTGACTTCCCCAGTATTGTGCACTTTCTTACCCTTCATCAAAGTTACTACTTATCCACTGTCCAGTTGTGTTTTTCCCTCCCTAACCCTCTCCTCCCTCATCACTGTCAAAGATTGTTTCTTTCTGTGTGGAAACATTTTCATGTGTTTTTATAGTAGTGGTTTCATACAGGATTTGTTCTTTTGTGATTGACTTATTTCACTCAGCATAATGCCCTCCAGATTCATCCATGTTGTGAGATGATTTGCAGATTCTTCATTGGTCTTTATGGTTGTGTAGTATTCCATTAGGTATATGTATCATAGTTCGTGTATCCATTCATCTGTTGATGGCCACTTAGGTTGTTTCCATCTTTTTACTATTGTGAATAATTCTGCAATGAACATGGATTTGCATATGTGTATTTGTGGACGACTCTTCTGTCTCTAGAATTCATTCCTAGGAGGGGGAGTGTTTGCTGGATCTTATGGTATTTCTATTACTAGCCTCTTAAAGTAATGCCATATTGTTTTCCAAAATAGTTGTACCATTTTGCATTCCCACCAGCAGTGCATAAGTGTTCCAAACTCCCCGCAACTTCTCCAACATTTGTTATTTTCTTTTCTTTTTTTATTCGTGCCAGTAATGTTGGGGTGAGATGGTATCTCACTGTAGTTTTGATTTGCATTTCTCTAATGGCTAGTGATCATGAGCATTTCCTCAAGTGTCTTCCAACCTCCTGAATGTCTTCTTTGGTGAAGTGTCTGTTCATATCCTTTTCCCATTTCTTAATTGGATTATTTGTTTTTTTCCTGTAGAGGTATAGGATTTTCCTATAGATTGTACAGATTAGACCTTCGTCGCATATGTCAGAGTCAAACATTTTTTCTAACTCTATAGGTTCTCTTTTTACTCTTTTGGTGAATTCTCTTGATGAGCAAAAGTGTTTAATTTTTAGAAGATCCCGTTTATCTAGCTTATCTTCTGGTGTTTGTGTACTGTTAATTATGGTTTGAGTATCCTGTTTATGTTGTATATTAGGGCCTCTAGTGTTGACGATCTTTTTTCTTCCATGATCTTTAGCATTTTTGGGTTTATTTATTTATTTATAGTACTTCAGGTGAAGGTTTACGGAACAAATAGATTCTCATGAAACAGTAGTACACGTATTGTTTTATGACATTGGTTAACAGCCCCACAACATGTCAACCCTCTCCCTTCTCTACCTTTTGTTTTTTTGGTGTAAATATACATAGCCAAAGATACACCATCTCAAAAATTTCTACATGCACAGTTCAGTGACATTGACTACGCTCTTCCAATTGTGCTGCTATTCTCACTTTAGATGAAGGTTTACAGAACAAAACAGTTTCTCATTAAACAGTACACATGTTGCCCTATGATAATGGTTAACAACCTTACAACACATCAATACTATCCTTACTCAGCCTTGGGTTCCCTATCACCAGCTTTCCTGTCCCCTTCTGCCTTCTAGCCTTTGTCCCTGGACTGCTGTGCCTCCTTAGTCCCATTTGGTTTTATAGGGCTGTCCACTCCCAGGCTGAACGGTGAACCTTGGAAGTGACTTCACCACTGTGCTAAAAGGGTGTCTGGGGGCCATACTCTCGGGGTTTCTCCAGTCTCCTTTAGGCCAGTAAATCTGGTCTTTTTTTTGTGAGTTAGAATTTTGTTCTACATCCTTCTCCAGCTCTGTCCAGAACCCCCTGTTGTGATCTCAGTCAGAGCAGTCAGTGGTGGTAGCCGAGCACCATCTAGCTGTACTGGACTCGGTCTGGTGGAGGCCGTGGTAGCTGTGGTCCATCAGTCCTTCGGACTAATCTTTTCCTTGTATCCTGTTCTCTTCATTCTCCCTTGCTCACGAAGGAATGATACCAGTGGAGTTTTTGGTTTTATCTTTAAGTCTTTGATTCATTTTGAATTAATTTTTGAGTATGACGTGAGCTATGGGTCTTGCTTCATTTGTTTTTTACAGATGGACATCCAGTTTTGCCAGCACCATTTCTTAAAAAGACTGTCTATTCCTCATTTAATGGACTTTGAGCCTCTGTCAAAAGTGAAGTAGCCGTAGGTAGATGGATTTACGTCTGCGTTCTCGATTCTGTTCCACTGGACAATGTGTCTGTTGTTGTACCAGTACCACGTTGTTTTGACTACCATGGCTGTATAGTAGGTTCTGACATCAGGTAGTGTGAGGCCTCCTACTTTGTTCTTCTTCAACAATCTTTTACTTATTCAGGGCCGCTTTCCTTTCCATTTAAAG